TGAGGTTTTTTATTATTACCGGATGTTTAAGTTAAAATTTTGTTTTTTGCATTGAAAATGACCCGATCGGAGTCGAAACGTATGTATTTATGTATTTAATGTTATTATTCTAATTATAATTATTTGTTAAAATATTGGTTCTATGCTCTTTTAATATTCATTTGTCAAATATTAAATTTAATCACTTTATAGTAGCAGATCAAGCATTTCCCCTTGACAAGCACATTATGCGACCATACCCAGGCAATAACTTAGGAGAAAAAAAAAACATTTTTAATTATAGACTCTCCAGAGCGAGGCGAACTATCGAAAATGCGTTTGGCATTTTAGTACAACAGTGGAGAATTTTACGAAAGGAAATAATTGCCTCTGTAGAAACTTGCGAAGAAATAGTTATGGCAACAATAATTCTCCATAATTTTTTACAAAGAGGTGCAGAGGATATTCCACAACATGAAAGAAGATATGTTGTAACGGGAGTTTCTGAATATATAGATGAAAATGGAGTACTTTTGCACAAAGATATACCATGTGATTTACGTTCTATTGGTCGATTAGGATCAAACAATCCTTCAAAAACTGTCAAAGAGGCCCGAGATGAATTAGCTGATTACTTCGTAAGCGTAGAAGGCGCCTTGCCTTGGCAATGGGAATATGTTAGACAAGGAAATGTACCATAAATTCAATTTTTTGTTTTGAAATGTAGATTTGACTTGTGTTATAATTTGTAAAATATATAATCATACTTCTAAATCAAATGGGCCTTTCTTGAAACATAACATTCAAAAACAGAAAATATACCCAGTGAGAAATGACAATGGAATCGACGTCGAATCGATGTCGATTCGACATCGAAATCATCGAATTGACGTCAAATCGACGTCGATTCGACGTCGATTTCATTGTCATTTCTCACTGGGTAAGGAGTAATTATAACAATAATTCAACCAACTTTATTTAATTATTTATTGTAACTGTAATAAAAATATATTATTATAATGATTATAATATTACAGAGTATAACTAAATATAAAGGATTTAAATTGCAGTCTATATAGACATCTTAGTAACTTTTATTTATATTATTTTTATATTATTAATTAATATATAAATTTTAGTACATACAGTAATATGGAAATCGTAAAAATATAATAAGGTAAACGCTTTTAAAATTGCATTAAACGTAAATTAAACAGTTTTTACTTTTTAACAATCATTATACTTTCTTATCAAATAATTGCAAACAAAGAAACA